TGTGATGCAATGATCAGACAGTATTTTGACCCATTGTGTGCGCATACTACTAGTGACCATGTAATAAGTAGCGTTTCAGTGATGAGTAAACCCGCACTGACAATTAGCTTGAAAAACAACTGATGATCAGAGCCAATTCTAGCTCCGACACTTGCACCAAATTATCCACTAATGTCGGCCCGCATTGCTTACGCAGACCTGTTATTAGTGGCACCAGAAGTTGTTCTTTTTTGTGGTTGGGAATGACGACAATTCCAAAAGACATGGTCAAAATTCTCATTGATTTTGATGCTGTCATACAGCAGTGAAAATTTATTCACCGATGCCTAGTATGCAATGATTAGTTAAAGTCGCCCTGTACGGCCACCTAAGCATTTTTGCAGACGTATAACATGGAAAAGTCTTAGGTGAAAGTGAATGAAACGTCGCAAAAGTCCGCTATTTTAGGATACTAACTCAAATTACAAGTGGAATCTGATTGCTCAAGCTCAGCAACTCTTATCCAATAAATATACCTCATCGGCAGTCTTCTAAGCCCAGTGATGTTCTACTACCGTGAACTCGATCTAAAGCGGAAATCGAGACCCCTTGTAATGTCATAATCAACTTGGATTGAGAAACGACACTTCTATAGCGATTTTCTAACTTTGAAGCGGACATGGTTTAGTAAATGGGACTCTCATTAATATCAGTTGACCTTGAAAACCAATTTAGATCAATACCAAATGCTCATTTACCTCGCAAGACCCTGCACCTACCCAGATCGATAATAATGACAAGTTTTTATGTTCTGTTGCCTTAAACTGGACCTAAGTTGAGAAATGAGACTTCTGGTGATATTGTTTTATAACAATGATTTTGATCCGGACCGATAGTTAACTGTTTCTACTTATGTTCTGTCACTACTCAGCTTCAGCTTATTATCCACCATTTGTCATGATCGATGACGAGGTCATGAAGGGCAACACACAGAAGTAGCTCACTATCCAATCGAACAGAAGCACACGGTGACAAACACAATTATTGCACCAGCCCCTCCTTATTATAAAGGCGGAGGCATCTTTAGGTGGCGAGTTCGCATATTTTTTTCTACCTTTGCCGAATAACTGTGTTCCATAAATCAAGCGTCAGAGACACACACAATTAATTTGGTTAAAAGTGGAAAAAAGGGCAGCGCGGTAAACCACGCACCATGTTCACCACGCCTCTTGACATGATTTGGCCACGTTGGGATGGAGGCATTGATTAGGACAATGACGATAGTGATGATGATGCAACCGGGAAGTGAATGTGGCTCGATGGAAGGCTTTTATACGAAGAGTTGCCTAAGTATCAATGAATTCCGAGGGAAAGATGGCTGGTTTATGGTTCCCTTATCTGCCAGGCGCCACTTGCAGCCCTTCAACCACGTAGCTAAACGCTGATTTACTTTTGGAATCTAACCACATCCATTGAAGTGAAGTAGTGATCTGATTGGATGGGGAGAGGAAGGACGATTGTTGATGAGGGTGCAGTCCCGCTTGTGCCATCCTTAATGCTGCGTCGTCTTTTTCCATTGCCACTTTTAATCCTTCTATGAGTGACGGGCCGTATGGTCCTAAGAGAACACAAAAAAGCGCTGTTCTACCAGTGATTAAACACTCCTGTCTATTTCTCACGCAAGACGCTACTCTCGCACACCTCGAAGTCGAGCTGTGTCTAGTAGACAGGTCTTGGATGAAACCGGAAAAAAAACAAAAGGTTTCTTTATTCGGTTTTAGTAAGATGCACATGAGTTTGGGTCCAACTGCTGCTATGTTCGCGCCCTTGATGAGCTCCATAGTCACAAATTGTGACACTTGGTTTGGTAGTAGAATCGCTTATTGACATTCCATGGTATTAAAATGTTTTTCATTGGATAAAGGAGGCTTTAACTTGCAGATGCTGACTCGTGGGAAGGGGAGAAGGGATGTACTACCCCTTTACTTGCTTAGAAATCTGCAATTTTTGACGTCTTACACCGATAATCAGCCATGTGACCATATACTGACTTGATTTTGGACTGTGCCTATCCTGAAGTTCAGCGCGAAGACGTGAAGCGGGATACGGATGAGGCGTGCGATAGCAGCGAAGGAGGGCTAAAGTAGTGTCACCTTTTGCCACCACCACCAGGGTCAATTACTTTATGGTTTAAATAGAACAATTGATCCTCCTTATATTCATCATTAGGTGTAGTCTATTCTTCGCTCCTTTTCTGACTCCCTCCTAATTCACTCAACAACAGATGAATGAACAGGGTTTTCTCCCATCATTACGGGCATGCCATCGCATGAAAATTATTACAGACATTGGCAAACTTGTCTAATTAATTTGTTTGGATTTTCATGCGATTGGTCTTGCACACACAACAGGCAAGTCTGTGAGTACCTCCGTCTGAACATTATGTTGGGAAGTGGGCGGCAAAACGTATATACCACTCTCATTTTTTCCTCAGCTCTCTCTAGTAAAGGGTTATGTAAAGTGTAGGCAAACCAGCTGGCAGTTCTGATACACCGTTGTAGACCCCGATTTTGCCGATGCGGACCAACATTCTTCCGCAATGACATTTTTTGTCCCATCTAATGGGTTTTATTTTTAGTCCGAAGTGACGATTAAACTAAACGTGAACCAGAAATGATCTGGAAGCATGCGGAGTATGAAAATCTAAATGAGTCCCTTAAGGAACTAACTCGACCAGCTTTCCAGAAATTCTATTAATTCTTTTTACCTATCAGAGTCTTGAATAAGTGGAACTTTGAAGGGACGCAGTAAAAATCTACTTTAGCATGCCACTTTCAGCACCGGGCTGTTTGGCGCTTCTTCCCCACAAAGTTGTCGGTGTTAAAATGAAGGTATTACTTGGTAACCCTCCCCATTGCGAAAAGTTCTTCAGCACTGTCCAACTCCACAATGGTCCTTTAACAAAATGGTTGGCCTTTGTGTAGGACATGGTAAGCAATTTCATGTTACGTTGTCAAACGGTCCTGTGTAGGGGTAGGTGGCGAGGACTGTGGCCCACTGTTTCTGTGTAAGTAAGAAAGCAAGTCACTAAAATACCATAATCAACCAAAAAGACTACTGATTTCCAAAATTAAATCTTTCTTATTGATAAACAGAGTATATGGAAAGTTGTAAAGGTGTTTTCCGAGTGTCATAATGCCGATGCTGTCTGGTGGGTAGAAAAACTGGCCCTCTGCCCTTTCCTTTCACACTAAGTATTCAGCAGCAGCTGCAAATGCCTGTCAGGATGGTCATATCCAACCTGTTTACCATCGGTTTTCACCGTCTATTCGCTCATGTAATGCCAAAAGAGGACCACTGCCATCACCATTGCAACTGCCATTACTACCACCACGGTAGTTCCAGTTGACCCCCCACGTTGCCGAATTCACGTTCCTCCTCCTAGCTGACCACCTTCCACAAGCGTGGCCTTAGTGGATTAATGATGGTAGGTAGTTGCTAAATAACTTACTTATTGTGGCATGGTTCCATACAGTTTTAAATGTAAGGAAGTCTTCACCATTAATGTTTTGTAAATAATGAGGAAGTAATAGAAGACTATATTTCAGAAAGCAGTATGCGGAAGGCACGATGTCTAGGAATTGTGCGGTGAAAATTTTAAAAGCATCTCCTAAAAACTGCTAGTTATGACTCAGGATTATGCGCTTAAAATTTTTAATTTTGACGCACTCTCGGCCAGAGTAGTCAACGTAAAACATATCGGCGCACCTGCTTCATCGGCTATAGAGTACGGGTGCCGTTTAATGGCAGGAGAATGCATACATGCAGAATATGTATACATACAGAATACAGAATACATTCAATCGCAAGTGACTGAGCAAAGCATTAACACTTCACCTCACCGGGAAGAACGGCTAAAAAGCACAGCAGTCAAGAAGATCCATGAACAAGCGCGGGGAACTTCACATGCAAGAATAAACTATGAGCGACGTCAAAATAATATGTACGTAGCTTAAAAATGAGAGCCGTTGGAAATTCTCGTCAACCAAGTGGCATTTTCAGTGATCACAGGTTGCGAAGCTGCTAAAAGGAATAGGTTTCTCACTGTGTCTATCCCTTTTTATCCCTTATGAATGCTGTTTGAACGCATTTTCCACTCATTCCCTCCCTCCTTGGAAGGCCATTAGTTTTTGGCATTTTGTTAAAAATTCATTTTAATATGAACCACGGGTTTCATTAAACATGCTACTGATCATAAAAAGTAGTAAAAACTTTAAACCTTCTATTTGAGTTTAGCCTATCATCAGGCTCCACTTTAGATATCTGCCAATAGACTGTAAAAATTATTAAATCAGCGGATCTTCTAGCGAACAAAGCAATTAGTTACTGTATTGTAAGTGTTTAGAATATTTGCTTATCTTTTTTTGAAAAAATTCTCAAGATAAACACCATTCGAATTTGAAGCGTAAATTTAAAGTGACGCTGTACAGTTTTGGTACTTTAGTATTTTAAATGGCAAATTTTGGCGTTTTGTAATTGCTACGCCTAGAACACCCTAAAGCATTGCTGAATATGTAGGCACATTTAATGTTTGCCTCTGGGAAGAATAACTTTGAGACTATGTAAATCCAATCAGAAGCTAAAATATTCAAGATCCAAGTTAGAGTTTACATCGCTCATGCATGCGTTCCTGTGTACATCCAATTATTTTATCCATATGTCCAAATATTATGAACTCGTCCATCCTCTAGGTTTCTTTCCTATCCACCTCTAACTACCTTCGGAGTACCAGCAGCTTGCAAATTTCCTAAGATCCTCATCGAGAAGAACAGGCATATCTGCTAAACCGTTAATTGGGTTGCATTTATTGTAGTTTTGACTATTTTCATTACGCTAAAAGGGATTTAAATAAATTGTAGCAGCATATATGATTTTAGAGTTTATTATGAAGATCACGGGTGCCAAGACTACAGCAATTTTTAAAAAAAGAAATCTTTTTTATACATCTTTTCTAAAGTGGTTCAGCGTCGATGGAGTCGCGGTTCTGCTGTCGGAGGGGGCGGTGGTGGCTGTAGGTGGTAGTAAAAATCATAAGTGGTGGTTTTGGGAACTGTGCGTTCGGGTATTGAGGGAACAGGCGCCTCCGAGGAGAGAAACGATGGATTAGAGTCGGAAGTGTGCCTGTGCATGTATGATTCCGGTGGTGGAGGAGGATAAGACGGAAGTGATGAAGAGTACTGTTTATCACTTTGAGAACTATACTGCGTTGGAATGCCAGAGAAGTCACATAAAATGGTTTTGTGACTGAGTAGTGCTGTCAAACGGGAAAGAATCTGATCAATGTCCTCTTTTTTCCGACCCGCCTTTTCAAGGACCTCAACAGGACACTTTAGGTGTTTGGCGAGAATTGGAGCGATAAGCTTTAATAGAGGAGAAATTTCGGCTGAAAGAGAAGCTGTCACTTGAATAGTCGCCAATCCTAAAGACGATTCTTCTCCTCTCTCATGTTCAGAAATCGACGATTCAAGAGACAGCAATTCCAATGCCTTGACCTGAAAACCACCTTTGAATAGACAGGCCATTTCATTTTCATTAAAATTATTCTCAATGCGCTGTTGACGTGGTTCACTGGCAGACTTACTCAAATAGAAGGGCTCCAAGACCTTCAGAACTGTGCTATCGTTTCTTAAGGTCGTGTCGCTTTGCCGGACATCTTCCGGTGGATTGTGAATATCAATGTAAAGGGAAACATCTGCTTTCACCTTCCGCTTCTGTCGAATTACCTGCTTCTCTGACGTCCGTTCCTCGGTGTACTTTGACTTATCCTTTTCCTCCTCCTGATTTGTCACTTCAATGACTATAGAAGTGGGATAAGCGATGCTCTTTCGACGAAAGGAACGCCTATTCATTCTGACTGCCTTTGATAGATTGCCAGAGCTCTCCATGCTGAAAAAGGATTTGAGGAACGAAGCTGCCTTACCACGTGACCTTCAAAGATTCGTGCCTGGAATCGATAGGAGTTGTAGGTATCCTGCCCCATGGAGATGCCAACAGCATCATCAACGAAAGCAACAAATTATTATTGTTCCGTGAAGTCTGTTCATGGTTGTAAACTCAATCCTGGAAGTCGGATGAGGGCACAGACATCAACGATAAACTGCCAACTTCAAAGGTGGCATTCCGGATGCGCAGGACAGAATTGTGCCGTTTTAATAGAAGGAAGAATTCATAAGTCATGCGGAAGAAGGCTGCGGAAGGGTTCGTTGCCACCCAGAATACGTCCACTATCTGAAAATGCGGTGCCACTGTCAAGAGTTCAGCGCTGCATTTTAGAAGCCGACAAAAGTAGCGCCACTACTGACGCCGTGACCAAGCCAATTAAGTCCATTGAGATGTCGAAAGGTTGCAAGAGTTTAGAAAGTCAGGAAGGAAAGCTTTTTTGCGAAGATTGCGATATGCTAGGAGGATTGCATTTCACATCGTGGGACACCAATCGTCCAAAGACCGCTCCCGTTACGTCGTCCCCGATGGCGGTAAGCGAAGACGCTTGTGGTATCCTAACATCGGATGACGACTTTAGTAGTACCTCCATTAAGCGAAATCCCTTTGTAAATGAAACACTCCAAAGCATTTCCACTAAAGCTGGCATGTCAAATACTGCCCAAGCTGGTAATTGGAACCCGTTTCTTATGGAAATGTCAGGCAAATCACCGTTATCGAAGAATCAAACAACAGCTACTGAAATTCGATTTTCGCATATCGGTAATCCGAGGGTCATAGAGACCAGCTTACTAGATTGCCCGGAACATAATAAGCCCTCAATTTCAATTCCAGACAATGAAGTAATCGAGACATACAAAGTGGAAGAATATCTAGACACCGAGCCGGCTCACAGCTTATCGGATGCAGAGAAATCGGCAGCAAACACAATTAGAAGCATTAACGAGGTCAACAAAGAAGAGAATGGATGTAAACTTTTGATTGGGAAGCTCCAGAGCGACATTCCTCAGTCATTTAGATCAGCCTCAAAGAATATGACCTCCCCCTTGCTTAAACTAAATGGAGCCATCCAGTTAAGTAGTTTTTCAGAGGGTTCAGCAGAAATTGAAATTAATAATGATGATCAGGGCGTCAACAAAGAAGTAGAAGACCAAAATGTCCAGGAAGGAATTCACAGCACAACTGCCGAAGCCAGTGTATTAAAAGGGTTTTCTAACATCTCCCCTGCCAGGAGTTCTACGCTTCAGTTGAATGTTCCGAAGGTATCAACCATTAATGGGCTGGTCGGTGAGAAAGCAGAGGCTGGTATTTCAAGAACTTCTAATCGATTTACCTTTTCTGATGCATTGCTTACGGGAGAAGAAAATGGCGCGAAATTCCAACCTCCATTTATTGCAGTTCCAAAGGACTGTGCTGTGCTAGTGATCGGTCCGAATAAATTACTAACTTCGTTACAATCAAATGTCATCCAACACTTAAAGCAAGATTCAGTGAGTCAAGACTTGGGAGGTGGTCCTTATAGCGCTCCGCTAGAAAATGGCGCGGATACACTTGCTGAGTCCTCTATGTCTAATCCACGAAGCTCTTCCATGTTTATAATCCAAAGAAATGAAGGAGATAACTCCTTAGATCAAAAAAAAATCCTTGAAACCAATGAGGGTCCTATGTCAAAACTACTTGAAGGCAGTGGTAATTACCCAAGGACGGAAATCGGTGGATCAAAGGCATCATCTGCTTGCCTTGCGTCTTCACCAGAGAAGCCAACGATAACCATGGCGACCACCTATCCACAAGCCAATCGTGAAAAAAAAGGTACAGTAGCGGGAGAAGGAATTCAATGCGTCTCAACAGTAGGCAGCAGCTACTTCAAACCCATTTCCGCATCAACCTCACTCCAAAGAACAAAAGAGGAGCCCCAATACACTTCATTAAAACTAGAAAGGAAAATTCCAGACACTTTGGATGCTTCAACATCAAAAAATCCGTCAGTTTTATCAGTCTATAATCGGGACGGAATAGAAAGAGGATCCTTGATTCCAGGATTCGGTCCTATGGGACCCGAATCAAAGACACCCATAAAGCTGCCATTCGCACCAATAAGAGAACCAAATGTAACCTCTATGGCCTTTAGCGGTTCACAATTTGGCGGACTTCATCGACAGATCGGTGAGAGCCAAGGAGGTAGTAGGACTTACACCAAACTCACGTCCAAGCTCTCCAGCTCCATTTCTGCGAGGAGTTCCAAAAACAATCGATGCAAACTGGCGCATTGCGAAGGTTCAAGAAGGCCTTTGTCCCCATCAAGTTTCCAGATAGGGGAAAGGGATGATTTTACCCCACTTGCGAGTCAGAAGTGTCGACCGTGTCGATTGATTGTTGCGCATCATACGCGGTCATCCCTCCTCCACCGCAACGTTCCAGTATTCGATTTTGGGGCGGTGGATCCCGAGATCTATATGTCGTTCACAGACAATGAAGACAAAAAAAGGAGCGTGGTACGGTATTGGGATAAAATTTTTGGCTGTTCCTCTAACAAGGCGGGAGAGCAGTGCAACAAGGTCTCTGAGATGCTATTACCTCCTTCAAAGTAGGCCACACCTTTGCGAGCAACGTTGAAATCCCTTTCAGGAGGGTCGATACACTGAGTGACCCTGATTTGGATGATAGTGAGAGGCGTAAGGGAGAAGCAAAGCTTATCATACAGTCCCCTACGTGTTGGAAGACGCAAGGATGATGCAATGTCCGACCATTCGGTTGCCCTCTACGAAACTAAGCGCATATAAATTTTCATCACCGTCAATTTCTTAAGTAAGACAGTGCCAGAAGCAATCACGGCAAAATTCACTTTCCACATCCAGCACTAAAGTTTTTTGGCATGTTCAGCTAAGTTGCTTTCCATTATGTTACCTTTAGTATACATTATTTATTTATGCATTCTCATAGGAATTGTGAAGAGATGGTGGAGGGTAGTAACCTTCCCCGCCTTCTGGTAAGTGACTTAGACTAGGAACCAAGCGACATCTTATTCAGTGTATGGGAATGGATTTCCTTACCAAAAAGAAAATTTCTGATTCGTCTAGATGAGGATTTTGAGTCATTTTTTAGAATTCGCTGGAACTCAGACCTTTTTCTCGAATGAACATTTAATACGATCTCAAAGTCTGTGTGATTTTGGGCTATCGGTGTTAGGGGCAACTCTGTATGTAAAATTGCTCGCCTAGATTCGTCCTGTTTCCGCCGTGCATTCTGGCTAACTTTGAAGTGTAAGCCAAGCACTCACCTCATGTCCACTACAATCCTTCTTTGGATTACCTTTTCGGTCCCCTTCCCGGAGTTCCACTCTCGGATTGAGGTACTGAGCACCGCGTGTGCACCTTTAGGATAGACCGGTTTAGAAGCTTCTTTACGCTTGCATCCTTTTGAAGCAGGCTCAAGATCTCACTGCGTAGGTATAAGCAGAGTTTGAGGGACTTTGAGCCATCCTAAGGGCAGCTAAACCACGGGATATCGCTTTTTCTTCTAAAGGGTAGTCTGAAGAGTCAACTAATCGGAGATGCTAGAGAGACTTATGCGGTGGAGGGCCACTTAATTGCTGGTAGAAGGAGCGATAAGCACGTGCACCGTGGGCACTCTAGTCTGTGTTCATCTGGTAGATGCAAAGAGCTTTAAGTTTTGTTATATTTTATGCCCATTAATTACGGATGGTGATAAAGAGTGATCCCACTTAAAGACTGCAGATTCTCCCGGCTCTGACGACTCCTCATTTGTCGTTTGGTTGCAAATTGAAAATAAGATGGTCAAACCGCTAATGGTTTGGGCGTGTACCATCACTAGGCATTGCTCTTCTATTTTCGCTTACTCCTTTGACAGAATAACGTCTTTTGCGACCATAGAAAGTCAAGTGGAATTAAGGCGAGTAAATTCGTGTAACCAAAGTGGAGATCCCTCCACCTACAGTCTCTATGAAATCCCTTTCGACTACCAAAATTCCTCCTCTGGGATCAAGTTAACATTAGTAGCCTTCAACTTCTCAGTACTCAAAACGTCTAACCTAGAGTCACAAGCACTTCCACTTTCCACTTTGCACACTGCTATCATCATCTATCCAATGATGTACTTAAAGCGGATCTAGTCTCAATGCTATCCTTCGAAAGACAGCCTTCAGCAAAACAGCCTCCTAAAGATGTCATCTAGTAGTTCGGCATTATTAAATCACGAAGCGTACTTAGGCAAATTTGAGTGACGAGCAGCAGCAGGTGGTGATGGTGGAGAAGACAAAACCCCCTCTCCTCTAATCATCACTACCCCACCTCCCTCCTATCCTCTCCCGCCGCCACTTATTCCCCTGTGCTGTTGGTCAGCAACCGCCGTTAGTGCGTCAACTGAAATTTATGGCATATTTACTACTAACCAAGGATAAGCTCACCTTAGGGATAGGATTGGTAGCATCAAATCACCATTCCAATTGACACCGTGGAAACAGACACAACAGAGGCCATGGAAAGCGAACTTGAGGTAAAAAAGACGTTCAATGTCCGTGACAGTGCTGAAGAAGAGAAGGAAGTAGAATCGACTGAGAATGTCGATCATGCCTTCCAAAACCGGAGCAATGTTCCATAATTTAAAATCTTCAACTTCCACTGATACCTAGCCCACCCCATCCTTTGGTTATCCACTCTAACGAGGAAACAAAATCGCTAGCTTTTTACTTACTTGGAGTAGATTGCAAGCATTTTAATACAACAATTTCAAATTGATAGCAGCTTCATTCGTCACCCTAGCATTGCTGGACTCACCTCTATGAGATTCAACACCTCCAATGGGAAGATGCTGCCACCGCCAACGTCTTTCCAAACCTTCTTCATCGTCTGGAATCGGTGCAGAATTAACGAACAGCATACATTCCTCGAAAACGGATTAAATCGCCTTAATCTATCGCCTTATACCGACTTTTTTAACAGAGGACGTCGGTAAAACGACCCCCATCCCCAATAACGTGAGTATACTAAGCAATTCTATCCTCAACGGCTCCCGATACTAGTAAAGTGTGTTTTCCCGTTGTTGAAATAACTTGAGTGCCTCTGGTGATGGTGAAGTTGACAAGAAAGCCTCCCGAGGTAGCCATCAGCAAGGAAGATGCCGCGCTATCTCATCTGCCATTGACGTTATAGTATAAGTGATTTGAATGCTTATGTTACACCTTCGACTTCCACACACATGCATTCAAGTTTCGGTCCTTAAATTTTGTAACCAATGCAATTGCACTCAAGTGTCCGTCCAGTACATTTTGCAACAGCCATGCTTATACGTTGAACTCCTGCAGAACCTAAAAATTTGAAGGCCACAATTCGCCTACCCCTAAAGTGGGTGCGATGAAAGCTGAGAATAAAATATTCATTCAGTCCGATGCCAAATAAACGTTGGTGTTTGAAAGAGACGCCAATAATGCCAACCCTTGGTGTATATTTGCAAAATTGGGGGCACATCCAATGTCAGTGGGGCAAATATGTGGATATTTCCTCTTCAAAGCTGGATATCTCATCCTCAGTCGGCTTAGCCTTTTTCTTTGATGATAAACTTCTCGCGACGGATTCATGGTGTTCTATAAAATCAGAAGGACATAGAACAGGACCGCACACAAGCCAAAGCTAGAGGTTTATTTGATCCACTAGCTGTAAAATGATGAAATGAAGAGATGGGGACAACGATATCGTAAGCGATTTGCTAACCTTTGAGAATGGGGCAGTACTTTTTATGCGTGAACCAATGCAGCTTCTGGCAAGCTACCGAACAGTAGGCAACCTCGTGACAACGTGAACACCACTTCACTTGGAGGTTGATAGCATAGCCGGACACATCGGAGCAGGTGGCGCAGGGTTCGTTGATGACACCGTCGCGCGAGGTACTGCGCGAGAAGGACGTGAAACCGTTGATCGAATTCTCGAGAATGGTGAGACAAGTCGGCGCCTGACCCACCTCCAATCCGCTTATTTGAGTCACCGTCTGTCGCCATAGGGTCGATTCCGTGTGAGGAAATGACACAAGACACTTACGAAGGAATGCCTCCTGCCCTGTTAAATGCACATCAATTGCCTGCACTTTTGCGCTCACAATTTAACCTTACGAGAAGTGGATAAGTGAGAATTTGTCGAAAAAAAGACGATTCCATTATTCCTCCCAATGCAATTGAGTCCTCTCGTGGAGAGAGAGTTGTTGCATCACTAGGATAAATAAGTCTTGGTATCAAGAAGAATGAAGCTGCATAAAAAACATTAGTTCAGGATTAATAAGTGTGTGTGTTGATCAAGAATGTGTTATTGAATGCAAAAAAGGATCTGAACTCACCCTTCGGCAGACCATGAGGGTCAACACCACGGAGAAAGACCTTAATTAAGGGTTCGAGAACAAAGGGGGCAGTTTTGCCTTCATTGACGACTTTACCACCATGCTCTGCTTCCAAGTATTCTCCAGCATGCTTAACAGTAGAGCAGAGGAGGTGAAGTTTGATCGCGATATGTTCGTGAGTCCTCTGAGGAGTAAAGTGCTGTCCCACTAGTTTTCCTAGAACAGTAATTATGTTTTTCCAGCTGTCCAAAAGCGGTTTTCCTGCAGCCGAGGAGAGATAGAGGAAAACCTGCAATGCAAAGGTTTGTTAAGGAATGAGCAAACGAAACCTCACAATAGCAGTGAAATTACGGCAGTCTAGAGATAAGAAAAAAACCTACTTTCACAGGAGCAAAATTAAGATTGTTGATAAGGTGATGTAGAGGTTCAACAAGGTCAATAGAAAGCTGTGAATTGCTTGAGGTAGTATTTTTCGTGAATTGGATCAGTTCTTCTTTTTCAATGTAGGTGCTAATCTGAGCGGCGGCAAAGTGATTACCTGATTTGAAGAGATGAAGATTACTTACAATGTCTCACCGACAAATGAAGCCATTTCAGCGGCCGTTCTTTTTAGACAGTTCGTCATTTCTGGTTTGGCACCGCATGAGAGAAGAAAGTTGACGATTTCTAGTTTTCCAGACTATCTACGATGCATATGGAAATTATAAACTAACGAGTGCTGCGAACATTAACGCAGTGTAACCCTGTTTGTGCTTCCCCCAATTGACATCAGCACCCGAATCGACCAAAACTTTAGCTATTTTAACATTTCCACGGTAACAAGCTTGAAGCAAAGCGGTCATGCCATCCTAGAAGAAATGAAAGAAGAGGCTGCTGTCTACCTCATCCGATTCATCAATTTTAACGTAACCAGTAGTAAGAAACGCTTTCACCTTTTCCACATCACCTTTTAATAATGCATAAAGCATGTCGTTTACCATCAAGTACGGCCTTATGGAACGCAGACAGCTGTGACGAACCTGAAGCCCCGTCCATTTATTAATGGCGCAATCACGTAGCACACCAGATGACGACCTTTTGATTGGACAGGCGCTACAAAAGGCCAATAAACTTAATAAATTAAGGTAATGACATTTTTTTTGGAAATTTTATAAGCCCCCTGATGTCCTTTGATCTTTTTGCTTGTTTATTTGTTATATCTCTCTTGCGCACGCAAAATCAATTTTTGGCAAGAAGTCCTCATTCAATAAGCCATTTAGCCTGCATTCGACGGGCTCGAGAAGTCATTTTTCCCGTAATCGTAAGAATGGACTGTGAACATTTGCCCATGGAAAGTCAAGGGCTTTCGGATGAGGAGGCAGTAATCAGATGTATTGTTTTGAACGAAACATCTCAAGGTTTAATTAAGGAAGCTGTGTCTTTCATCGAAGTAGAAATCGCCCAACTCAGAAGAGAGGTTAGTACATGCTCGCCACACATTTGCAAACAGACCGAACCCCAGGATAGCAACAAGGTTACTGATGTATCCTACGTGAACGCAAAGTTAAACTACGTGCACAGACCGTTCTTCTGCGTAGATGGAAACGTGGTTTGTTTTCTCATAAGGTTTACCCCTTAGTTTCCGCCGATGAATGTCGACACACAAACGCGTTTGAGTCTAAAAGAGACAAACGTTGCTGATGATCTTAATGCAACTCTTCATAAACGTGAGTACTTCTCTTGTTTGAAGTCTGATATCATTGCTGCCTTTAGTAACTCAATCCGAAACCATTAAGCTTCTCCTCGCTTTGGTGGACTGCTATCGCATATCTCTCCAACGAAGACTGAAAGAACAAATTGAAAACTTTACAGAATCCCTTACCAACTTAGAGAAGGGTTTTTCAGAACGTCAACAGATTTATTTTAAATTGCAATCGGCTGAGAAAAGGCTAATCCATTCAAAGAACATTCTTCCTACAGCACTACCTAAGGAGATCGTGAATTGCATTGCCTCACTTTCAACTTCAATTAATGATTCAGTATATTGGCATAACAAATTCGAAAAACTTGCGAAATTGAAACAGTTCGATACTACGGGTTCAAGCATATCAATGGCTGAATGGATTTCGATTTTGAACAATGCTCATAACATTCTTACTGATCACGATTGGGACTATATTTCTGTACACGTTGTAAGCGGAAGCTTGGTTTTGCTGTACCTAAACTAGTCCCCATTTGTTTTACATATTTTCTTATTGTCTCAGTTAAAGAGCGTCAAATCGGCAAAGTTCTGCCGCTTGTACTGGCTTCATAGACTGCGGCCTGAACTGGGACGTGGACTTTGGTCATCTAGTGAGATAGCGGCGTTGGAGTGTGCTGTGAGAGAATACGGTCCTTATGGACGATGGCAACAGATTTCTGAGCGCTTAAATTGCGGACGGACTGCCTTTTCTTGCTTCAAAGCTTGGCACAAGTACCTAAATCCTCGACATCCCTCCGTAGGTTATTTGGATCGCTGCGATCTCCACATTTCTTTTCTCATCAATCATGTAACTCCTCCTCCACCTTTCAAGCGAACACATTGGAGTCCCGACGAGGATGAATCTTTGGATTTGATTGTTGACGACGAACTTTTGCACGAGTGCAAGGCGATAAGTTTGATAGACTGGGGGGTAGTGAGTGCACGTCTCCAGACACGCTCAGCTGTAGCTTGTCAGCGGCGCTATTACGAACGCCACCAGCTTACTCGCTCTTCACCGAAAACGCCTTTCTCTCCTGAAGAAGATCTTGCACTTTTGATAGCTATTCAACGCCTTGGCACTGGTGGTGGACATTACGGCTGGGGTAACGCTGGTGAGAACCCTAGAAACCTCGGCACCTGGTCCGTCATCGCTGCTGAGCTACCGGGGGGACATCGCACAGCAAAAGAATGTGAGCTGCGTCATAATCAGCTGTGCGAGAAGTTTCAACCCTGGAGCTACGCTGAGACGCGGCGCCTTTTTGAATTTAGCTCCCGGGTGTCGGAAGCTACAAACAACGAGACTGGACCGTGTAGGTTTCTTCTTTAACGGATTTTCCACTAATCAATCAGCTCAAATATTGTCAGCTTGCCTTGTTATTGCCATAGTTATTGCTGTCAATATCCTCCCTTACTTTCCGGGCCGTCCAATATCTGCTCTTTTGAATCGATTGCGGAACTGCAGGACTCTGGCTAGCATTTTGAAACGCTTGCAAAGGCTTCCCAATCAATGTGCTCTTGTAAAAGATTTCCTCTCCTGCACCGATTTCAAGCCCCTCCGGTCGCATCTGTTCGACTCACAATCTATTTTTGGTGAATGGCTAAAGGAGCTCCAACAATTGGGTGTTTCGAATCCGGAAGCTTACGCGTTTTCAAAGGTAGGCTTCAAATTTCTCCTTTGATGCTGGATTTAACTATTCTGCTATTGTTGAAGCTACCCTAGTTTTTTGTGTAATGTCTATTCAGGACTTTTTGTCACGCGATCAGCGCACAGTACTATTTTCCTGCATTGAATTTGTTTAGCTTCTTTCATGGAGACCTCGCAAACGCTATGAACCTCCAGAAGGTCAAAAGCACAGCCTCAAGGCAGAGATGAATCACGATTTTAGTCAGCTTCTGCTTGACTTGGAAGAGAAGCTTCTTTTACCGTCCAAGTCTGAGTTGTCTGATACGAACTCAGATGCTAATGCTTCTAGCCTCTCAGTGCAGCCCATTTCGGCATCAGATGAACAACTGAGCGTCCTTGACGTCGCTAGGCTCATAAATAATTATCAGGCAAGTTCCATGAATGTTATCGTGCTCATGCTTGTAACATTTCAAGTTCCACTATTGTTTTCGCACTTTTACATGCCCTTTTTCAGAGCAAGAAATAATATCCATCTTTTAGTTGAAGCCGGCTTTGTTTGCTGTCCTGTCTACGGAAATAGGGCGAAGAATGAATCAGCCTGTTCCAGACGTTCCCAGTCTTGACCAGGATAGAGGTGATGGAAAGCGGAAAATCAAACCATTGGTGCATCGTATTAATAAGGATGCATCGGCAAGCATTCAGGAGGTCGGAGAGAAGTTGCTGAAGGATCACAACTTCTTCGCGAAGGTATTTGACCGGGTTCTGAGCAGCAACGAGACGGCTTCCCAGGCCTACAACAGCCATAACTTTCGCGTCTTGGACTTGGTACGCTCAATCTTGACACTTTTATTGTTAGTGTTGAAATTCTTGAACAACGTAGTAAAATCGTGTTGATCGTTGATGCCAGGCTAAACTGTGCTCTTTTCTGTCAAAACGAGGATATATATTTGACAAATTTCTCTCTACTTATCCAAAACTCAGTAGTTCTTGTCTTGTCCGCACTTTCCACATTCACTTGTGTGAACCACTTTTCCTGTTCTCTTATTTTCACACTGGCTTATGTCGGTAGTCATTTTTGGAATTGTACTTCTGTCTAACCACCTCTAACCCTTTCTAAAACGGGACAGACTACGTAGATGCTGTCCTCTTCTACGATAGTTATTCGTTTTCTTCATATGGTACCTCGTTTGGTTGCGAAATAGCTCAGCTATTGTGGAATAAGATATATTTGCGTAAATTCCTAATCAAGTTTGCCTTTGCTTGAACCTCATAGATGGCTCCTGAGCTAGCTGGAGATATGCTGTTCTTCGCTCAACAGTTTGACGAGGATGTTTTTCTTGGCCCCTCCAAATCGCGTTCACATGAATGCAAGCTTATGATCAAATGTATTCCTCGCTCAAAACTTCAACGTATCCTGCGAATTAGACAAATTTTGCTCAAATCACGAATATCGTCAATTAAATCGGGTTCACTAAAGACGCCTTGGGCAATGCCATTCATTGAGGGCGGTCGTAGCGACGTAAGTTGCCGGAGAGGCCGTTTACATTGCCATTTTGCTTAAGCTTATTTGCACTTTTTAATGGATATTCTAGGATAATTAGGTTAGAGTGCCACGATTTGCTGGTCATCATAGCCTCATTGAAAATGTAATTACGTTTCGTTTTGCACCAAAGTTATTTTCTCATTACATTTAGCACGACCAATGCAAGATTCCGTTTCTTATCCAAGTACCCGATCCTCTTCAGAAGTGTGTCATCGGTTCTTCTGATTGGTTGACAAAAAATGTGATTCCTTTTGTCGCCATGTGTCTGGGCGTTCGTAGTTCATTGCCAGAAGTAAGGCGGAGTGGTCCTCGTGTCGCTTTGGAGAGAGATGACCTTGGCATCAAGTTGATGCCTCCTAACCTTGCCACAATTTCGGCCTTAAAAGCCCTGTTAATGAAACTCCCCGAACTACAAAAGGCAGCTGGTGGGAATGCACTGCGTGTTCTTCGTTGCAGGTAGTTTTACGAAGAAAAATAGTTATTCGCACACTAAGTTCGATTGACCACTGCTGTAGATTTTGCGTGCAGCTCTGCGCCATTCACACCATAGTACTTTGCTAATATGCAATGCGTGGTCCTAGCTAGCTTAATCTTGTTGGTATTAACGATTTCTTCTCAGCCACACCCCTTTGTATTCTCGTTTTGCAAATCAATAGGGCCAACTGCAATTTCTTCGAACGTTTCTCTACGAGCAGTGTGACCATTCCAGCCGATACACGTGAGTTTATAATCACTTACTTGCTCACTCAGGGCCTTCATAGAACGCTTTTGTCTCCTATCCCATTAATGTTGACCTTTCAATACCCCCCCCAAATCCTTCACCTAATGGTTTTTTGTGTGGGTAATTTTGTTTCTCATTACGTTACCGTAGTCTATCTTGCTTGGATATGCTGCTTTCGATTGGACAAGCGCAGTAGAATTCTTCAGTCATAAAATGTTTGATTGCGAAGACTACCGTTTGCCCAAAAATTCCGGTGCTTAGTTGTCTTTGAAAGACAAAGGAAAATCCGGCAGTCTTGACATTGTTGGTGCACGCTTAACTAACACTATGCCTTGGATGCTTCAGAACTCAACCCCATCATACGGGATCGACCTGATGTGGCAGCCCTGTTATCGAGTTGTAAGCATCGCATCTTTGTTTTGCGGTGCTTATCTCTTTTCCTCTGGCCCTGCCTCCTCGCTAACATGCGTTCTCACAGTATTGTGGATTGGTCACTCACAGTGCTCTGGGAACAGTTGTAAGCCAGTGTTTTTTTTTCATACGCGGCATTTGTGTGAGATTACCGCCCAACTTTGAATGAGTATTGCTAGGCTCCTTTGTTCCATTATTTTTTCCCCCATAGAAAGAAGGGGTGACTTAGGTACTTCATTTCCATCCAGTGAATTTAAAAAATGGCTATCATCGATGCTGTGGTTGTGATGCCTTGAGGGGGTTGGTTTATAACCTATCGGATAGAACCATCACCAGTCCAGTGCAGTTGAACTATCAGTAAGGAAATGATGTACAACTGCCCTGTGTGTGTGTACAGGCACGCGGGATCCTGACGACAGTAACACGTAATGCGGAGTGCTATCTGCGGTGGTAACTATCGCAAACCATAATTATGAATAGCCGATTTGGCTGTTTTTTTTTGCCATGCTTTGCGAAAATTGTCCCTCCTCTCAAAGAAATCCTTCCTCAACGTTCTTCATCCACTTCGTTCTAGCTGCAAGTTAGCTAATACAGAAAGTGCGCCAAGGGGGTTGCGAGGTCAGACCAGCACGACGTCCTTGAAGCGCGCACTCGAGACAAGCGATCTGAAGGAAGGGTATGTTTTTTAACGAAGTTTTTTTCACTTAAATAGAATTATTTGCTGCACAAGCTGAACTCTTTCATTGGTCATCTGAATTCATTTGGTGATTATTTTATTAGACAGGGTGACTGTGACATGGGGGCTAGTTTCCTTCCTATTTCACTGAAATGTTTACGCACGAATTGGTAAACTATTTTAGAATGCCTCCGCGCAAACGTTATTTAAGGTCGGAAAGCCTGGGGAATAAAAGTAAACCGCCAGACCTGTGGATGCATCTCACTCTCGACTGTGATGCTAACTTGAATGTACACTGCGAGCTGCCGACAAGTGTGGAGGAGCTTGTGCGCACTGGATTTGTTCCCAGTGGTTTTTGTGCCTAAGGCTATGGCTTTTCGACCATCGTGTAATTTTTATGCCTTGACATGTGTATGTTTTAGTAGGTGGGAGCCAGTGAACAGTGAAGTCGACTTGTTGCTGTATATTTTGCTAACGGTAATGGGTGATTGTATTTAAAAAAAGGTACAAAACTCCCCTTGCCTTCCTCCTAATTACCACTCCAGTTGTTAAGATAGTCTAAGTACTAGGATATGTGGTTTTAAGCTCAAATTCTAATTGCTTCCAAGCTCTTCCGATTCTACATTAACGGGATGTGGATAAAGTTATGTCCGCCATGCCCATCCTTATAAGCAAGTAACATGTCAGGTTGTTCGAAATGTAATTAATTACCACTCAGTGCTATCCCAAAAAAATCTATTTATTTTTTGGAACAGCACTTTTCCTATTTTTCATTACGCTCTTTAGACGGTACTTTCTAGATCTCACTTATCAATTGGAAAAGAATTTTCCTCCCTAATGTCACTTTAGTAAACTTACCAGAGGAAAGGCAAGTCCTTTTTGTCTAAACTAACTACTTTTATCTTAGATTCTGCCTGTTTGCAGGGCTGAATGCTGTGTACTCCAGAAGTTTTGGAATGCCATTGAATTGCAAGTCCTTCAACAGCGAGTAAGGTACTAGCTCAAAATGCCAACCCTAGAATAGTGAATCAAATGTCAGAAACGAAGATATTTGTCATTACAGAATTGGTGGGCATTAATTAATAAAGATAAAGGCGAAACTAGCATCACATGCAAAAGTATGTGTGGTCCATAAACTTGCTATTCCAGTTACTACAAGCACTTATTAGGCAGCTTTTAGTGGAAAGTACGTATATAGAATGGATTTGAGAACGTACACCTGGGAAAAAACCTTTCTACCGATGTCAACGTTAGCAAGTTCAAGTACTGTTTTTCTTTCACTTCCAACTTCATGCCCTCTTGTCATCGCTTTTCGTGGTAATACTACAATTTGATAATGCGGTGGCTCAGCGTTCATACTCAATGCTAAATGCAGTTCTTTTTTTGCCTACACAGTCGGCAGCTCTGTGTTGTGCTATAATTATTTCGGA